TTTTCTTGCACATCTTTGCAGGAAATAAATTCACTTTTTGAGTAGCTGAGAGTAGCAGTTTGATTCATATATTCTATTTTACTCCAGAGGGCATATATACTATGCCAGCCCTCTTACTGGCATAGGTTACCTCTCTCCCCTTGTTGTTTCTGGTGTATTGCCTGGCAGTCTAGTGGGCTGGTAGTAAGTCTGTCTACATCTTACTATCCACTCCCCGCCTATCTTCTCAAGAGAGGAATAGCCGCTTGAAGATGGCTGTTCCCATCTTCACATGCACTGTCAACGGCAATTTCAGTGATGTGGGTATCTCATATGCACAAGTAAGAGTGTTACAAACAGCCCTTACTCCTTTGTAAGGGTTTCCAGTAGGTCTTTCCTGATTAACCATTTAATGAGGACTCCAGTTTAGAAGGTGAATCTGTGACTATGCAGTGTTGTGCGATATCTATTGTTCACTCAAAAATATAAGATTTAATTTAGAAATATATCTCTACCTCTGCTGGATGTAAAGAAGTTCTTCAAAACATGAACTGAATGTAATCTATTTAGTGTGTTTTTTCTTGAAATAGATGTCTAGGTTTGGAATTCTCTTCAGAATATACATTCATAGTTTTTTTCCAAGGTTTTATTTTGTCATAATAATCCTCACTGGCTGTAGTAGAGATTGGAAGTTTTTGTGTTAGCACAGGGTGTCATGAAGTAATCATTCCCGGTATCATAAAATTTAAAAATACTTTAAAATAAAACCTTAAAAATTTTAAAGATGGGAAGACATACACCCCAATGGAACAACAATGGAAAATGTGTTATGTGCTACATTTGTTTGGATGACACGTCTGTTTATTATTTATATCTAATATGTAAATTCCCATAACACACTTCTCTCCATTCTGCTCATCACTTCTTCCTGTTATTGCATATACCTGTGATACTTATAGGGAAGGCAATACATTTTATGCTGTGAAATAAAAAAGCCAGTGTGTTGCCAACAAACAACTTTACAAACAACAAAGGCTTTGGAAATCTCTGTATAATACAAGTGGTTTTAAAGTCGGGCGGGGTGGGGGAAGGGAGGGAGGGATCATTTGTTTTTTTGGTGTTATGAATAAAGTTTGTACTGATTAGCACAATTTGTGATGGTCATGTTAAGAAGACTGTGGGTGATAAGAATTTGCTTCTTCGGCTCCAAGAGTCTGTATGCACTTTAGTTCATGAAAAGGCCATGTTACTAGTAATAGTGGTAAAAACCTAAGAACTACTTTGGAACAGAAAACAGACAGGGCTTCAGGGGTACAATGGGGAAAAACATCTGGGCCCTAGAGTAGATTGCAATATGGGAGATAAATGGGAACTGATTGCCAGAAGTTGTGCTAAACTTGATTTTTATTTTCTATTTGTTTAGGTAGTGTGTGTTAGATGAATTCCAGAATAACAAAAATACCTTACAAAAAACAAACATTCAGGAATATTAAAAATATGCTTCATATTTAATGGAGGAAATAGCATAGGATTTGACCACATGTTTTGAACTAATCAGTCTTCATGAATGCCTTTCATCTGAAATACAGTCAGTTTATCCCTCCTACTGAAAGTATATGGGCTTGATTTACCACTCCATTACACCAGTTTTATTTCAGGGTAGAACAGTAAAACATATAGGTGGATAACAGTATAATAGATGGGGATTAAACCCAATGGCTAAGTACAGACATTCAAAAAGCCTGAGGCTGAATCACTTCAGTTTTCACAGGTTAGTCTAAACTGAGTAGATTAAACCGATAAGCAAGTAAACAAACTTTTTATTCCAGAAATGCAGTCACGTGCCTGAAGTGGCCCAGGCCAGAAGCTAGGGAGTGGTAAAGCACATCTGCCTGCTCAGCTGGAGGAGACAGCTTGGGCCAAGCCTAGCTTGCCCACCCTGTGAGGGGGGAGGTATGCAGGGGAGGTGCAAAGTGTCCTAGGATGATGGGGGACTGTAAGTTACCTTGAATCTGGAGAGGATCTGGGATAGAAGTTAAATAAATCAATTTAACCTGAATCATAGAAAATTACGGTAGGGAGGGACCTCAGGAGGTCATCTAGTCCAACCCCATGCTCAAAGCAGGACCATCCCCAACTAACCCATCCCAGACAAGGCTTTCTCTAGCCAGGTCTTAAAAACGTCCAAGGATGGAGATTCCACCACCTCTCTGGGTGACGTGTTCCAGTGCTTGACTACCCTCCTGGTGAGAAAATTCTTCCTAATATATAACCTAAACCTCCCTTGCTGCAACTTGAGACTGTTGCTCCTTATTCTGTCATCTGTCACCACTGAGAACAGTCTGGCTCCATACTTTTTTGCAACCCCGTTTGGTAGTTGAAGGCTGGTATTAAATCTCCTCTCAGTTTTCTCTTCTCTACACTAAATAAGCGCAGTTCCCTTAGCCTCTCCTCAGAAATCATGTGCCCCAGCCCCTGAACCATTTTCATTGCCCTCCACTGGACTCTTTCCAATTTGTCCTCATCCTTTTTGTAGTGGGGGGCCCAAAACTGGACACAGTACTGAAGATGTGGCCTCACCAGTGCTGAATAGAGGGGAATGATCACTTCCCTTGACCTGCTGGAACACGCCTACCAGTGCAGCCCAGTATGCCGTTAGCCTTCTTTGCAACAAGGGCACACTGTTGGCTCATATTCAATTTATTGTCCACTGTAACCCCTATGTCCTTTTATGGAGAGCTGCTGTCCAGCCAGTCAGTCCCCAGTATGGCATTGTTCTATCCTAAGTGCAGGACTTTTCACTTGTCTTTGTTGAACTGCATGAGATTTATTTTGGCCCAATCCCCCAATTTGTCTAGGTCACGCTGAATTCTAGTCTTACCCTCCAGCATATCTACTACTCCCCCCAGTTTGGTGTCATCTGCAAACTTGATGATGTTGCCATCTTCCACGTTGTTGATGAAGACATTGAACAAAACCGGCCCTAGGGCACTCCACTTGATACTAGGTGCCAACTAGACATCAAGCCATTGATTATTACCCTCTGAGCCCAATGTTCTAACCAGTTTTTTATCCACCCTACAGTCCATTCATCTAGCCCATACTTCCTAACTTGCTGTGAGAATATTGTGGGAGACTGTTTCAAAAGCCTTGCTAAAATCAAGGTATACCACATCCACTGGTCTCTCTGCATCCACAGGGCCAGTCATCTCATCCTAGAAGGCAATCAGGTTAGTCAGGTATGACTTACCCTTGGTGAATCCATGCTGACTCTTCCTATCACCTTTTTCTCCTCCAAACTCTTAAAATGAATTCTTTGAGGATCTGATCCATGTTTTTTTCCAGGGACTGAAGTTAGGATGACTGGTCTGTAGCTCCCTGGATTCTTTTCCCCCCGCTTTTTCCTTTTTGCCTTTCTTAAATATGGACTCTGTGTTTGCCCTTTTCCAACCTCTCCTGATTGCCATGAGTTTTCAAAAATGGTGGCCAGCAGCTTTGCAATCACATCAGCCAACTCCCTCAGCATCCTTGGTGCATCCCATCTGACCCCATGTACTTGTGTCCAGCTTTTCTATATAGCCCCTAACCTGTCCTTTCACCACTGTTGGCTGTTCACCTCCTTCCCAAACTGTACTGCCAGGAGCTGACCTTGCCTGTGAAAGCGGAGGTAAAAAAGGCATTGAGTACTTTAGCCTTTTCTTCATCATCTGTTATTAAGTTGCCTCCACCATTCAGTAAGGTACCCACACTTTCCCTGATCTTCCTTAATCAGTTAAGTCTGATATTACATGCAACCAGGTTTATCTTAAACCAGTTTCAGCCCTTTCTGAAAGTGGTTTATGTGCACTGAACTTCTGTTGTGTTACAGATTTAAAGTGGTTTCTGATCACTTATACTAGTTTATGTGCAATTTCTGTTCCTAGCCAATTTGTCCCTCAGGGTTTGAGGCAACTGTGCTAAACCCTGAAGATTTGAGGAAATTCTAGATCCATTGTGTAAAGCCACCAACAGCATAATCCCAGTGGTGTGACATCCTAACATTGCATTGTCTGCCTGTTGCACCCACTTGCCAAATACTCCTTGTCGTCATTTGCTGTTGTAAAGGTTAAAATCACAAAATAATGACAACACCTTCCACTGCTGGTTATTTTGTGGATCTCTGAAATTCACTTCAACAATTGTGGCTTCTTTACCTCATTCCTTGTTCCTAAATGTGGGAGAGGCATGGATATTTTTCTTCCTCTCTTTTCTCCCTTGCTGGTTTGTTAGAAGAATTGGATTTGATCCTGGTTGCTGTTGCCCATTGGCTTAGCATTCTGTCTGTGGCCTCTCAGGAGACCAGGCAGACTGAAAGAACCTCAGTTAGCCCCTTAAGTTCCAATTCTCATTTTTATGCAAAAGTCATTTTACTGCTCTCTGAGTATGTAACTATAATTTATACTCCCTTTGTAGCCACTTTACCTGGCCAGAGTACTGCAAAGTGGTCTTAAGAATAGTTGAAAATCAGACCTACACTCTCAAGGAGCTGTATACATAGCATACCAAAAAGTTACCTGTGTCATTACTGCTTTAAAAAAACTTACAAATATTTGTATGGTTTACCATACCTTCCAGCTCATAAAGGAATCATTGTTCATTTGGTATGTTCCTCATTATGAAGTGGTCAAATCAGTATTTCAGTTCTGTAAGGGTGTGTGTGTGTGTGTGTGTGCGTGTGCACGCACGAGAGAAAGAGAAAGAGAGGGAAAAGAGGGAGAAGGTGCACAAGTGTCTTGGATCTCTTCTGTTCAATGCCCACTGCTTAGTCCTGTGAACTGTTGGGAAAGACATCTTGATTCACACATGGAGAATCGGTGCTGAAATGGAACAAGTGACCATTTCCAAAGACCTTTTTTTGTTGAGGAATCTTCATTTCAATTTCCTCCCTGAAGCCATTAATAGTTCTTCATTATGATTGCCCAAGTCATATCAAACATTTCCTCTGTGATGATATTTTCCCCTTCTTATCTCTTATATTTCAGTTGCGATCAAGCTCAGAGCTTGACCAGGACATCCTCAGCGATTGCCTCACTATCCAGCCTCTCCAGCCAGCCCCTTCACCCCATGATGCTCCAGACAATACCATGGGGCGATCACCAGGGCCAGTTCATGACATCTATCCAGGTATAGTTAAAAAGACAGGAAGACTTGCCAATATGTTGATAGCTTCCTTTATTCTTCTGATGTTTTAGTGGTGGAAAGCTGCCTAATATATCTACTTTCTTTGTTTTCTAAACTACTCCTGAAAAGGACAGAACAGGATACAGTATATCAAAAAAGGTATGTCAGAGTTTTTATAGAAGGTCTCACTTTGACCATGAAAAGACGTACAGTAGGGAAAATATTTACCCAGTGGGAATGGAAATCTTGCCAGAGGTTCAACTGATCCATTCCTTCTTGGCTAGTCCTGAAGGGAATGTTTCTTACTTCACTATTCATTGACCATATGTATGTCTTCTAACAGAGCTTCAGAAGTGAGGTTAAATGTTGACAGGAAGTCTTACTTACTTTTGTACTGTAGGAAAACATACATCTACCAGTAAATAGGCTTGTTTTCATACTAAGTCCAGCTTGTTTCATTTAAGCATTTTGGATTTTCACTTTAAAAAAAATAGTTCTCTGGTGGTAGGTTACATTTATAATAACTGTTCAAATTTCAGCAGATGTTAAAACATTAACACACTATGAGAGACAATATTTTCCAATGTTCAAGCTCATCTGCAGTAATACAGTAGGTAGCATTTCAGCATTTATTATGAAAAATGTAGATAGTTACAAAAACACTTGTTTACTGTTAGCTAGAATATGTTGTATCTTACTGGGCACATCTACGCAAGATGCTAAAAGCGCAGTAGACTAATTCTACTGTGCATTAGTGCATCATGGCAAAAGCCATGCTTACGTGCTAATACACAGTAGAATTCATTTACTGCATATTAGCATCACTTAAAAGATGTGTGCTGTAGCTACTGCACAGTAGTGCTGGTTACCATGCATTAAGTTAGTACCTGTTATTAATAGGTGCAAAACTTAATGAGCAGTATTTACAGCACATTACTGCATGTGTAGACATGCCCACTGTGGTCTTAAGTGCATCTCAGTTGACAGCCTAAGCCTTAATTGAAAGTTACATGTAACAGTGGAAAGTGTTAACTGATCTTATATACGACAGGGAAAATGACATTATTTAAAATAGCCAGTTTTATTTTGCTGAAGGACTTACAAACATGGAAGTTTTCAGTTTTGGTTTGCCTTGGCTGTAACAGAACTATATAGTACTTTGCATAAATGCAGTTTCTTTTGTATTTGGTATGTTATGCTGTGATTGAGATTTACAAGAAGGTAAGTCAGGCAATAGAAAGCCATGGTTTCCACAGTGACTACAACTCGACTCCTGTTCACAGACAAAATATCAAGTATTACTGTATGCGATGTTAATTTTTAATTAATGTAGCATGTTAAATCTGGTTGCAATCTGAATATAGTTCCTACCATCTGAGTGGTAAGGGAAATGTCACATGTCAGTAAATCAATTGTTCTATGGGGAATTCAAGCTTAAGCATTTTTAAGAAAGAAAAACTGTCCTTTTCTTTCCTCATGTGTCTAAACAACTTGTGTGCTATAGAGTGCAGGTACCTGCAAATACATCCAGGTTTTCAAAAGTTCATATATTCTTACAAAGATCTATTCCAGTGGGGGCTGTGAAGTGCTGAGTTGTTTTGCAACCAAGTGTATTGAACTTTTCAACTCCAGGGTGCTAATTCAAATCAAATCCAGACTGGTAGCAGCCAAAAGTTCCTTCTGTTCAACAGCTGTTCAGTACCCTAAGCCTAAACCAAAGGAATTAGTGAACTTAGCCCAATTCTTAGTTTGTCCACACCATAAATGACACATTTACATTCTTTTGGCATTGCCTGTAGAAGGATCAAGCACTAATAAAGGCTAAACTCCCTCTTCTTGCAGCTAGTTTCTCTGCACCAGGATAGCACAAGGGAAGGTCAGTAGTTTTTCATTATATACTCTACTTGATCAGTGGATTCCCAGAAGACATTTTTCTTCCCAATGGCTACCACCAGCCATTACTGTTGATAAAACTAAAGGCACAGGTTGCTCTTTAATAGGATGGCTACTAGTTTGTGCACAGGAAAGTGAAACAGTCAAGTAAAAGGGTGCCAAATAAGATGTCATTGTTTCCTGTATGGTTGAACTTAGCCTGTCCACAGGAAAGATATCCCCCACCCTGTTCTCTATGATTGGGACACTGGAGGGGGTGGGGAGACATGTGGGAGACAGGGGGTGCATTTACATGTGCTATTAAGGTGGAGCAATGAACTGCAGCACATACCATGCTAGAGTTTATTGCTACCAGGTTCCAGGTTTACACATGCAGCACACTGAGATGGGGCAGAGCAGCCCCAGCTTGCAGGGGGCTCAGGGGGTCAGCCTGCCAGCCTAGGGCTACTCCAGTGTGCTGCCTGCCAGCCTGGGGCTGCTCCAGTGTGCTGTGGAGAGGCTGTCTGGGGCACAAGGGTGCTTTAGTGGGGACTAGCCAGCAGGAAACCCCGCACTGAAGCATCCTCATGTCCCAGCCAGCTGGTTCAGCATCTACAAATGCTTAACTCCATCCTAATAGTACCATACAGTGTAGATGATGTAGACATTTTACTGTGGGGTGAATTAGGCAGCTCTTCAGTAAACATAAACGGTACAAGAATTCAAAGAATAGGGGAGATAAAGGAGTATGTAGAAACTGATGGAAGAAATGTGTATGAGGAACAGAGAAATCTTGAATAGGGAGCCGGGAGAGGATTGACTCTAGTAAAGAGAGTAAGCAGAGGAGAGGGGCAAGAGAATGATAAAAGTGAGGGCCAGAATAGTGTAAGGAACAGGATGTGGAGTGCCCTACAAGCAACCAACTTTTTATATGTGCATTTAAGTTTGAATTTTAACCTGGTGAGGCTTTTGGAACAGTTATCTTTGTCCTTGGATCAGGAACACAGGAAGTAGTTAAAAAAAAAAAAAAAAGGTAAAATGCATTTATTTATTTTTATTCTCATGATTTTAAATCCTATCTCATGATATTTGTGATATTTTTTTAGTCTGATTCATGGCTCGTATTGGAATGTTTAGGATTGGCAACATTACTGCCTCATCTGAGCCTCACAGTGAACAGCAGTTCCTGTAATTAAAGAGTTAATCAAGAGCTTTTATGAGCTGTAATTTCTTTTTAGTTAATAGACTGTTTTTTCTAGCACATTTGTTTACTCATTGTTGCAGCTATCTATCAGTTGACACATGTTTGCTTGCTGCTTTTCCTTGGTGCACTGAAGACAGGTACTACTGATTTCCGTCAATTAACCTGGAGTAGCGTGTCAGGGATAAACGAAACCATGTCACTTCATTTTGACAGCCGCCCAATCCGGTTGAAAGAAATTGTTTCATTAACTACTCATCAGGGCTGCTAGGTAATAATATACTGCATGGAAAAGTGAACTAGCACTAAAGGAGAGAATAGTTTTTTTTGGAAATGACAATATTAAAATTATTCATGCCATAAGGAGAAAAAGAAAAACATTATAAAGCTGACTGTAGTGTCCAAGAGACGTTGTTCTTTCAATTTCTCTGAGATTAGCAGTTCTGAGAACTTTCCCAAATGTAGGGGGAAACTTTTGAGACTATCTGAAAAAGAAAATAGATGATAAAACTCACTTTTACTGTAGAATGTATACAGGACATATTAGCTGAAATAACATCTGTGCTATTCTCGGATTAGAAACATGCACAGATGTCTATCCCACCAGTAGCCCTAAATCAAACTTTTACCATTTGGTGATGGCTTAATAGTTTATGAATATTTAAAAGCAAGGGACTTCTTAACTGCTTGTCTTCTAAAAGATGTGCAAAATAAACAGTTGAAAGGCTGCTGTCAACTTAAAAAATGTGAGTCACATTTCTCTCTGAAAATAATGTACCTGCTCTAGTTATAACTTATCAGTATATCTCAGAAAAGTATAAATGAAAAGTTAGCAGAAAGATATTTTTCTTTTTTTCTCCAGTTAAATTAGTGCAGTTAAATGTCCTTTATTTATAGTAATGTTCAGTTTCTCTCTGTATAATCAGTTCTCTTTTGTTAAAAATTTAAATTAATACATATTAATAGGGGAGAAGTACACACACTCAAAAAATTTTAGTTCAGAACATACAATTTAAATGATGGTCTATAAAAACTGGATTTATTTAGTCATTTGAAATGAAATGAGTCAATATAAAAATCTTCAAGTTTGGGATATTTGTTTAAATTTCTCAACCAACTTTCATATGGGTTGGGTGCCCATATCTGTCACTGACTTGAGATGTTGAACGCTTCCACAAATCAGGGTATTCATCAGTTAAACATGGATTTAGATATGATCATAGGAAAGTAGAGCTACAAGGAATCTCACAACATCATCTAGTCCAGCCTCCTGCTCGAGGCAGGAACGTCCCTGACTAAACCATCCCAGCCAAATGTCTATCTAACCTGCTCTTGAAAACTTCCAAGGATGGAGATTCCTCAACTTCTGTAGGTAGCCTCTTCCAGTGCTTGACCACCATCATAGATCAAAAGTTCCTACTAATCTCCGACCTAAATTTCTCCTATTAAAGCTCGAGTCCACTGCTTCTAGTCCTGTCCCTTCTGGCCACAGAGAAAAGCCCATCCCTATCTTCTCTATAATCAACCTTCAGGTGTTTGAAGACTGTTATCAAATCCCTCCTTAGTCTTCTCTAAACTAAATAACCCTGGTTCTTTCAGACTTCCCTTATAAGTTATACCTCCCAGCCCCCAGTCATTTTTGTTGATTTGTGCCAGGCTTTTTGGTCCCTGAGGTTGTTAAAGTCTGCTTTACTGAAGTCCAGTGTTTTATTCTGCTGCTCTCCTTTCTTCTTCCTCTTAGGGTCTTAAAACCTATCAGTTCGTGGTCACTGCCACCCATGTCACCTTCCGTCTTTACATTCACAACTAATTCCTCCATTTATGAAAAGTGAATCAAGACAAGATTCCCCCCCCCTTTGTTCACCTCTCTACCATCTATAGCAAAAGATTATGCCCAACTTGCTCCATGAATTTGTTGGACTGTTTGTGC